CTGTTCTTATTGTATTATATATAGGGTGTTATATACTGATTAGGGAACCATATTGGGACATCTCACAGATTTCACAAAATAAGCTTTCAACCTCAAAGCAAAGACAAGACACAAACCAAATACTTTACTATTGTGAACTGCTTTGGTTAGATTCAAAGCTCATCTAAAGCACTCATACGGCAAAAGTTTAGATATTTTATATCTGTAACTCTAAACGAAATTTGAAGTAGCAGTTTAAATTTTGTACTTAGATTTAAATAACATTTAAATTATATTAATTAACAATTAAATAACATTTAGACTCGTGCTCTCAGTATAATTTTGTTTTGTCAAGATAAATCCATGACATTATATATTGTGCATTAGTTATCAGCAGATAATAAAAACTTTATTGCTTTATCAGTTCACATAACAATATTGAGTCTAATAAAATGTAATTTAACAATAATCAGAATGACTTCTGCATTGCACACAAATTCATCAAATTAAAATCAAATCACGTGCCCGTATTTATAATAAAAAAAATGAAAAAAAAATTTAAAGACTTCTAAAGAAACTCCGACATTTGCAGTAGTTCTCACTACTCACCTCGTAACTGGCGAAAGGTTAAATTACACAATTCAATGACGTAGGCATATTGCCATTTATTTCGTATGCGCAAGTCGTACTGGTTATATATAAGCCAAGTTAATAAAACTTGAGCTCGTATTAAGGCTGTTATAACATTGGTTTACCTGAATGAAATTTAGAGTAGATGAATCACTCTTTTATTGTACGGGACCTTAAGCACGAATTTGCAAACTAATAACTACAAAAAAAATCATTTTAATTTCTGTTATTGTATAATATACTCATAACCAAGAGTAACGTTTAAGATGATTTCATCGTTTATGTGCCCCAATGATTTGATACAAAAACAAACCTAAATTATTTGAAATAAGTTCACAGAATTGTTACATTTTTTTTTGTGATATTATGATTTTAATAATGGTTATTATTAATATATTTATAGAAACCAAGTCAGGTGTAACGGCTAAGTTAGTCCTCTACTGATCACAGCTTGAACGACCAGAACTGATCGACGAAAATGCAGTTGTGCTTCACATCATAATATTGTCAACTCACACACATGTTGGATAACTCGGAACACATTAACAAAACTTTGTTAGGAAGTTCCGGGAAGCATATATTCCATAGCCCGGGCCCTACACCCTTCAGATACTATCCTTTGTTAAAGATAATAGATTGACCGATCGGAAAGAAAGGCGAAATATACTTCGCCAAACTTTTCACCTATACTCCACAAAAGTGTCACACTAATTGAATTATGAAGGTGTCAGAAAAATGTCAAAAGGTCATAAATAATAACGTCAAATATATTTGTGTACAATTCATTTTCTCAAAACAAAATTTTTGTTATGTATAAGAAAAAAATTGTAAAGTTGTTGATGCACAAAAGTGCAAAATTATACATTTTTAAATAAAATATAAAAACTTTTTCACGTTAGCACATTTGTTTGCTTCACATACATTAGTTTCATTGGCTCAGACATTATGACTTCACGCTTTTGCATTCACAACCAGTCATTGCCATGGCTCAAACGGATTCAGTCAGAGTTTCAAGAGCAGCTCACGTTTAATTTCTCATATTTTCACAAAGGCGGGGGTTATGCATTTTGGTTGTAGTTTTCATTAAAAGTAAGAAACGATAATAACAATAACTTGCGGAATATTAGTGATTCTCAAATCACTAATAAGAGTCAGTTTTCCACCGACCCAAAAACCAACTCAAAACTAGATTTAATTATATGCGCTTCTCATACGATTTATTGTTTAAAAACTAAAACACCTTGTGGAATTGAAACCAGTTTGCTATGCTTTTTGTTAGAAAGACAATAAAATTATAAAATAAACTGTTTGTTTATTCAAAATCACTCCAAACTGGCAAAAATGTGAGACTCCATTCTACTCACCTATTTGTTCTTGCCGCACTTGTGAAGTAACTCCCGCGTAATATAATAAACTTCGAGTAATTTTTGTGATTTTCTTTCGATTATTGCAGTAATTTTAATTATATTCGATTAAATGTAATTATTATAACTAATTTTTTCATTCCCTTTAAATTGTATATAATAGTTTCTTTAGTTCTGCACTAATTTATTTGAACCGTTGCAGAGCATACCACCAACTAAAAGTTCCGAACAATTTTCACTTGAAAGGAGCACTTTTTATTCAAAAACTTCATTAATCAGCGAATATGCAAAACACGCTATCAGAAACTCTTTATGGTAATTTACATATAAAAAATAGATAAACCTTAGATTTGGCGTTGAATGGTCGCCAATATATACTGCAAGAGTTCAAACTTCAATAGATGGGCAAAAATATCACCGTACTTTTTGCGTCTTTGCTGTTATCATTATCGCAAAATATCGGAAATGCTTAAATTTATTAAATTAATTAGAACAAAATTCTTACTCACATCAAACAGAAGATCAGAGGGTAGCGACAGCATTATAAAACTCTAATCTCACTTTTGTCTTCATTATCACTGGTTTTCAATATTTAAATTAATTAAATTAATTTAAAATTTCCAATTGATAATGCTATATATTATATATTAATATAAACGTAAGATTAGTTATAAATACTTTATCAAATTGTATTGTAGGATGGTTATGATAATTCCCAGAATAGTCATAGATATGACGCATGCCTCACGTTTTGTTATAATCAATTATTAGGCATCTTTTTCTGACCTTCGAACAACCAAATTTTGATGGAATTAATGAAATTCTAACAAAGATCAATATCAACATAAATATTTTATGAGTATATAATACTCATAATATAAAACAATATTATAAAATACTGCTGCAAAGTATGAAAGTGACCCTGATCTGAACTGCATGGGAGACTATAAAGATTACGGAAAAATTTCTTCTCTTCTTATGCAAACAGCAAAAGGACATAATCTATTTTGTACTTCAGAAAAAAACGGCACAAATATTTCTCTGGCATTCGTATCTCACAAAGGATTTTGATAAAGACTGGTATCAATCAGTTGATGAGGCATATTCTAAAAATTTTCTTCAAGATAGAAAAATAACATATCAATGGAAAAACTTGGAATTAAAACACAAATTGAGTTCTATTTCCCTATTTTCATTTCTAAATATAAAAAGTGCTTTTGCTTTAATACTTTTTATATCTAATATAAGCATTAAGGCTGTTTTGTCTGTAAGTATTGTACTCATACATATTATTCAGTCCTTCCGGAATACAAAATGTTTAAAGTTCTAAACAGATACATAGCCATATACCACAGACGTTTGCGTTGAAAGTTTTTAAATTAGAGAACGATAAATACTGAATTATAAAAAATTATTTTAATGGTTTAATAGATCTAAACTTTTAATAAAGTAATAATTAGAATATTTAAATAACAATGAATCAATTTACAGACAATTCATAACTATAAAGTGGGAAAATAACTTTTACCACATGAATAGTCATTGACGTCCATTAAAGCTATTGGAACTTTACCATTTCTCAAATAGATGGAGAAGACTGTATGCTTCAGTAACGTACATCAAAAAAAAAATATTGAAAATAGTTTCTGCGTTTTGTTAAGTCATTACAGAGACTGGTTGTGCTTAATAAAAATGAAGAATATTGGCATATTTGACCAGCTAAATAGGTAAAGTATTCTTCATAGAAAACATCACACTTTTCTTGAGATTTAACTATATATTCTCTAGAATTGTCATACTTCTTTAGACTTTTTTTACATGTTATAATACAAGTTCTTATTGATTTCCGCTACATACTACAATATGAATTTCTGTTAAAAAATACTAAATGTAAGTTGGAGAGTTGCACGACTTCCTATAAACGGTTCGCTATATAATTGTATCTCTGTTAGGGAATACGTAATGTAGAACAAAATCAGCTTTCTTTGAATCGACAACCAACTTGGTAAAAAATAACTCAGTCAAGAGCGAAAAAAGTGTAAAACTCACAGTCGATTCTAGAGCCAAATAATGATGATATGTTCTTTCTCACCGAATAATTTACCTACTAATATAGAACTTGTATAGATTACGCTTTCTCAGCAATAACTAATATTTGTTAGAAATAATAATTATTTTTCTACTTCCTTTCAGTGAACATATAAACTCGTAAATATTTTATTAATAAATATTTTCTTATCCTAAAACGAAGCTATAAAAATCTTTCTTTTTAATTCTTATCAGAAAAGCAAAGTAAAAATTGTTTAGTCAGATTAAAAAATAACGAAACACAAACGATTAACAACATAAAATCAAAATAATTTTTATGTTTTTATTAGAATACAATTTGTGTCTGCAGTTTAGTTATAAATTACACAAAAACCATTAAAGCCTTAAATACTCGTACATTGTATTTTGACAATGGAACCTTTATGCACGCACGTCACAGATAAAGAGGTAATAAATTTAATAAGAAACGAAAATTTAGAGCAAAAAATAACTTGGTTTAAATTTAGAACGTCTATGTGGAATCGTTTAAGCAATCGTTAATTAAATTAGGTTAAGTACAACTAATACAGTAATCCCAGGCATTCACTTAGGCGTGTTTGTCCATTGCGCTGCCATATACTAAATCTCGGACAGTTCAAGATTATTCTAATGCTGGATGGTCGTTGATGATTGTCAAGGAAGGATTTCATAACTGGCTTAACAAGTGAATTGTATCTGAGTTGATATTTGCAATAATGTATTAGATTTCAAAATAAACATGAATAGTTTATCTGAACGAAAAGGAGTTAACAAATTTCACTAGAATAAATTTTAAAATTTTTCATTTCATAAAACTTTACACTCAATTCCGTTCATAACAAATAGATTTGTGTAGTATGCATTTTTTACGTGTACAAATAATTTTAAGTATATTTTATGGAATCAAAGAAAAAACACTATAAACAATTCGCAAACAAAATTTGTATCTTTACTACTTACATTTTCGTTTCTTTCTCCATTTGCAGATTCGATAGTCATTTTGCTCCAAATCGTCCAAATTTCTTCTGCGTTGGTTGAGAATCCAGTAGCCAAAAAGCCTAAAAGCCAAAATAGTTTCCGCAAACAAACGATTTCTGCTGTTTTGTGTGGCCAACAGACTCTAAGTAACTTGAATATTGTAAAATAATTTCAGATTAGAAGCATTTTCAACGCAAACCGAAAGTCTCAAATCAAAAAAAATATTAAATAAAAGTTTCAAGTGATTAAAATTCTGCATGCCGAGATGTGCTCAGATTGAGTGTTTTCTGAATGTTTTTAAGAGTGCTTTTATGAGTGACTCTCATGTGCTGCGGCTCGCTTGCTTTTCACATTGAATTTTTGCCCGTTTGAATTTCAGTTCTTGAGTGCGTGAAAATATCTTAAATGTCGATTAACAAAATATATGAAGCCTCCGATATGTAATCAAGTTCTTTAATTAGTAAATATATTCACACTTTAAAATTTAAATGCATTTTATTAAAAAAAAAAAATGCCAAAATAATTTCCAATTAATTTTATTTAATATTTTATTTTATTTAGATTTAAAAAATTAAATATTATTGACAGCTAAAATTTGATTACTTTCCTGTACGTATAATAAACACGGTATCTTTAGAATATCTTCAGCAAAAGTCTATTAAACAAGAAATGCTGGTCTCATCATGAAAATGAGTTTTGACAAAATTCACTTCCGAACTGCCATCTCCACTTTGAATAAACAGTAACAGTGGCCAGGTTGGAAGTGTTTAAAGTGCCTCACTTTCTGGAACTGGTACTTGATTCGTTGTCAGAACAATCAGAGCATTCAAGTGGTACAATTTTTCAATTATTAAGCACTTCGCTATCAATGACAAAAAAATATCAACTCTCTATTCAGTATTATGGACTTCCAGATACATTACATATTATTAAAGATATTTATTTAAATGTTAATATTTATTTAATTAATTTGAATTTAATTAATTAAATGTTGCAACAATGATTTTGTTCTTTCAGAAAGTATTGTATGTGTGTATGCGTGTATAAGCATGTATTCATGTCAATAAATATGAATTTAACTAATTTTTAATTTCTTGTGAAAGTAACTGTGGTCACGATCAGTTTCGTTTCTTTGTGTGTTCTTTTATAAGAAATCATTTATATTTTGGCAGTTTTATAAAATATGCAGGATACTTATTATTAAGCTGATGTATAAGTTAGATAAATACTTATTATAGTACTTACATATTATTATTGTGTTATATATAGCAAAGCCTAAAATACTACCATAAAGCAATTACAGACAGCACAAAACCTGGCTTTAAGAAGACTGTTTAAGATTCCATTGTATATTAGATCAACAGACATACATAGAGATCTTAGGATTGACTTAGTGAAAAAATATATCAGAGACAGAGCTCTAAAATTATTCACTAAAGTTGATACGCTACTTAACCCCGCCCTAACAATCTTCAAGTCCACTTCTGGATTCTCAGGAAGATATGCTGATTTAAGGTCCGTCATCAACTAAAAGAGAAATAAATGATATGCTTTTTTTTTGTTTTTTTTTCTTTTTAGTTAGCCTAGTTAAAGCCTAGTGTGGGGTAGAGATAACCCCCCCAGCCATTATAGAGTAAAAGTGCGTAATAGCACTAACTCAAGAAGAAGAAGATTCAAAAATCAAATACATATATGTCAGTTGATTTTAGTAACCCGAAAATGCTTCGGAAAATCTTTCTTTCAAATATGGCTACGATATTAGCTATTCTATCTCACTGCTACTTTGATTACTTTCATTGTAGCTACTTCTTTTTTGCCAGAATGTTTTATCACAATACTGATTTTATGCCATATATATTTGCTGACACAAGTATTTTATCTACAACTAATAATTCGAGATTTTGTTAGGTGCCACCAAACTATAGAATACTTATTATAGAACCATTAGGTGAGGTGGTATAATATAGTGAGTATTTAACTAGAACTTAGCTTATGTACTATTTTTGGCTGGTTTTGTCTCTTGTCATAAATTTTTCATTTTATCGACCTGATTTCGGAAAACATTTCTTAAAAAATGTAATCCACATCGATGTATTCCACATAAAAGTTATAGTTCTTTAGTATTTTAGTTTTTCATGTGATAAAATTAGATAGTTTGAACAATTTATTTAATATATTATTATTACATGAATACTTCCGTAATACTGTTAAATGAGATAACTAATGAATTCAATATTATTAAATCAATTAGTTAAAAACTTAAATATTTTAATTGTATTCATATTTAATATTTCTATTTTTATCGTATCTCGTCTGATATTATAATCTACAAATTTGTCAGTGTCAGTATGCATCATTGGCTAGAATATATATACCATATTTAAAATCTTCAGGGTCTCTTTTCTTAACAACTTGATACAGCTATCATCGTGCACAATTAATAACTTGACCAGGTTTATAGACTTGTCAGGTTGGTTTGCTTTTACTTGAATGAGAGAGTCGTGCCTATTTAAGCTCGAGTGTGTTTGGACGTTAGACCGTCACTCCAACCAAAACTAAGCTTAGTAAATACCATATATTTTAAACATTTTCCCTATTCTGAAATACAATTATTATTTATAGAAAACCATATTCATCATTGGCTAGAATATATATACCATATTTAAAATCTTCAGGATCTCTTTTCTTAACGACTTGATACAGCTATCATCCTGCACATTTAATAATTTGACCAGGTTTATGACTTATCAGGTTGGTTTGCTTTAACTTGAATGAGAGAGTCATGTCTATTTAAGCTCAATTGTGCTTTGGGCGTTAGACCGTCACTCCAACCAAAACTAAGCGTAGTAAATACTATATATTTTAAACATTTTCCCTATTCTGAAATACAATTATTATTTATAGTAAACCATATTCATCATTGGCTAGAATATATATACCATATTTAAAATCTTCAGGATCTCTTTTCTTAACGACTTGATACAGCTATCATCCTGCACATTTAATAATTTGACCAGGTTTATGACTTATCAGGTTGGTTTGCTTTAACTTGAATGAGAGAGTCATGTCTATTTAAGCTCAAGTGTGCTTTGGGCGTTAGACCGTCACTCCAACCAAAACTAAGCGTAGTAAATACCATATATTTTAAACATTTTCCCTATTCTGAAATACAATTATTATTTATAGTAAACCATATTCAATCAAAATTCATTTATTTCATTAACCGAAACTAATATGTTCATTCAGGAGCTACAGAAGTTTATGTAAACTAAATAGGACTCGAACTCGAGAACTTGACATCGACATGGGTAAAAAAATACTCGTGATATTTTCGTTACTCAACGGCAGCCTCATTGTTCGTTCCTAGAAATTTTTTTATATAAATTTTTTTTTCTTCCGTTGTTGAGTTGTGGTTAAGTTTGCATTGATGTCGATGAGGTGAAAGTTTCAATGCCTTTATTTTTAATTTTATGACTTTTTCTTGTTAAACTAAAATCGGTTTGGTTTCTGAACGAAATATTTCCAAAATTGTTTTCTGCTCTCCATATAAGCAGTATTTATGTTGTATGTTGTCAGGTACATTTTTTAAAATATTTTTTAGGTCATCTGGAGGCCAAATTGTATTTCTCAACATAAAAATTCCTTAAATGTGTATGGCATATGTGGCCTTTCTTTAATTGAATCCTCGCTTGGTTGAATGCTTTGTGCTGCGAAATGATGAAAGGTAAAAATAAGTTAAGTGTAAGCACTTAAACCGAATCAATTTTGTTGAATTGAGTTTTTGTTGTGGATGATGCCACTTTTTTAAAAATTCTATAGAAAATTTTTAGGTCTAATTATTTTTCAAGTAACAATACACATACTGTTATGCTGAAGTGGTTTGTAATTTGGTTTAAGTTAATTATTAGAATGACTTCAATTTAGGGTGTATATGCAAAACACAATAAGTAGTTCATTTTTTTTTATTTTTAATGAATACATTTTTTTTCTAAATTTAAAACTGGCAACATAATTTTTTAAAAATAATTAATGTAATAAAAATCTCATAAATTCATATGTATATATAACATGGAAATTTCAAAAAAAAGAGTAAGAAAGAGAAAGTGACACGGCATATAGATCGAAAATCTTATGTGAAATATAAATATAAGATTTAATTATTTGTAATAACATTATGTAAATATATGATTTCTAACAAATAAATGAACATAAATAAAAGAAAAAGCATATCACATAATGTACTTATATATAATAAATTTTATATTAAAGTGTTTCCATTGTGATTAGAAAACAAATATATTTATTTATATACATATGCGTAATTGATGAACTACAACAAAAAAATTTTAAAAGTGCTACTTAAAAGCACTTTTTAGTTAATTCTTATGTTGAATAAAAAAAATTTTTAATTGTTTAGAACTCAATAACGTATTTTTAACGAATCGCTGTACTTTATATAGCACCCACAGTTTCCTGTAATCAAGTAGTCAGGTTTCTCACACCTAGCTTAGATATGTACATTTAAATAATCGAATATTAAGTTTGTAGAATTTGATTTCAACTCTTTATATAATACCCATTATTTCTTTTAATTATGTAATTTACAATGCATTTAAAAAAACGTGTATTAAGTCTAGAAAATGTCTTTCTATGGTTAATAATATTTAGTTTAGACCTGTAACAATATATTATTGTAACTTTAATAAATTTATATAGTTTAAATATTATAAAGATGGGATTACAGTCTATTTAATTCAAATTTAAATTGTGTTTGAAGATACTTTATTCAAAATAAAATCGTTTTTATTAAGAATTATACGTTTCTCATTTTTATTAGAATTCCTGGTATTTGCAGTCTCCAAAAAATGAAAATTATTTACGAATAATAAAATACAAGAAATATTTCCAACACCACTGATGATGGGTATTTGGCAATACTCAAAACAGCTGTATGTATGGTCTGCCAAACAATTCAATTAATTAAAATAATATAATATGAATTTTTGTTGTTGTAGTTCACTACTGTTCGAAAAACCTTTTTATTAGAATTTAATGCTATATTCTTCACAGATTTCTTTTATTTATATTTTGCTCAAAAATTAAGTACATCATCTCCTTATATTTGTGGTTCTTTAAATTTTATTTCCTATGTTTGTGGTTTTTGTTTTGGGGATGTCCATTGTGTAAATATTAAATAAATATTAATAATCTATACTTAAATTTTTATTAATAAAACTTAACAAATTTATACTTAAATTAATTTTAAACTTAAATTCAAACATAACTTAAATTTTTTTATTTTAATGGTAAATTTTGTAACTTTCTAACTAATCATTTGAACTAATTATTGCTAGTAATATAAGGAACCGGATAGGAGTTAATAAAAAGAAAAGAATGCTATTTGATTGTCTTCAATTACATATCTAAAAATATATGTTTTTATCTCATTACATGTGTTGCTGTAGCAACACGAGACACCAGTCATAATCATGTACATAATTATACTCAC